CAGAAAGCGAGAAATCACCCCCCCGGGGGGATGGCCACGCCACAATCCCTTCTCCTCCATTCTCCTCTCGGGATCTTGGGCACGCATGCACACGCGCCCGGCGTGAGTTTAAGCCACTGAGCCCAGGACTCGAATCGCGGTTGACTACGTGGGAGTCCAGTGACATAGCCATTACACTAACTGCTGGTCCCCACCCGGCGTGAGTCTTAAGCTACCGGGTCCGGGACGTGAACCTCAGTTGACTACATGGGAGTCCAGCGACATAGCCATTATGGTAACTGCTGGTTCCCTGGACTTACGGTATATGCATGCTTTATAAAATAAATAAATAAATAAAATATAAATGTAAAATAAGAACCAGTTTGAATGTAGTAAGAGATCTCTTTCTTGAAATTGCTAATAATATGAGTGATCTTACCATAATTTGTTTTTTCTTTTTGATTTTTTACATGTTATATTTTCTTGAAGGTCAGGATATTTTCAGATGGAGAGTTGAATGTTAGTGATAATCCAGGGACATATTATAGCCTGATCTCATTAGTTGATTTACTACTTAATTAATGATTTTGATTAAATGTGCTTTTATACCTCTATAGTGATGGGTTTTAAATCTTAATGAACCACAGGTTTCAAATGAAATTATGACTCTGCTGTAGACTACCTGTTTTTTCTCCATTATTGATTATCCTAGGATTCACTGATACTGTTTTTACATTGGACGAAGCATCAGCATGAAGGAACAAGGCTTCTCAAAGTGAGAAGTCAGATTATAGAGTCAATAATGATTAGACTGCCTTATTAATGTCTACGTGTTTCTTTTCCAGGACTACAACTCCAGGAGAAACAAAACTTCTGGCCTCTGAAATCTATGACATTCTTCAGTCATCTAATATGGCAGATGGTGACAGTTTCAATGAAATGAATTCACGTCGAAGGAAAGCTCAGTTTTTTCTAGGAACTACAAACAAACGTGCCAAAACAGTGGTTTTGCATATAGATGGTCTTGATGATACGGTAAGAGTTTTATAAACACATACTTTTTAAATTGAGAAAGAGAAATCATGGCAAATGAAATTTCTTAAGTGTCACTTGCTAACAATCATTAAGTATAATTCCCAATATTAGTATTTTATAGTGATAAAGAATGTAATTTTGTGCTAAATGACTTAATTGCTCAGAGGTTATAACAATTTTAAATACTTATGCCCCTAGTACTACAGTTTTAAAATATATAGAGTAAAAGAAATACAAGAATGCAAGGAGAAATAAACAAATCCATAGTTACAGTACAGATTTCAACACAGCTCTCTCAATTAATAGAACAAGTATACAGAAGATCAGTAAGGATATAGACAACTTGAATGACTATCAAATTCAGTTTTTTTTTAAATTTTTTTCTTTTTTTTTTTTTGGAGAGGTTTTTGCTATAGGGCGCATGCATTCACCAGAAAGACAGAGAAAGACATAGAGAAAGAAAGCAAGAACTCACCTCCCAGGGGGCGTGGCCATGTCACAATCCCTTCTCCATTCTCCTTTCGGGATCTTGGGCATGCATTCCTCCATTCTCCTCTCCGGATCTTGGGCACACACGCACATGCGCCTGGCATGAATTTTAAGCCACCGGGTCCGGGACTCAAACCGTGGTTGACTACATGGGAGTCCAGCGATGTAGCCATTACACCGACTGCTGGTCCCCAAACTTAATATTTATAGACTGCCCAACTGTCTTACTAAGTTTAAAAAGATTGAGATCGTACTAAGTATGGTCTTTGGGCAAGATAAAAGAAAGTTAGACATCAATAACAGAAAGATAGCTAGAAATCCATCACCTCCCTACCTTCCAGACATTGAGAAACTAAATTAAACACTTCTAAAACACTTCTTTCTTTTTTTTTTCTTTTGGAGAGGTTTTTGCTAAAGGGCACGTGCGCTCGCCAGACAGAGAGACAAAAAGCGAGAAATCACCCCCCAGCGGGGATGGCCACGCTAGAATCCCTTCTCCTCCATTCTCCTCTTGGGATCTTGGGCACGCACGCACGCACACGCATGCAGCGTGAGTTTAAGCCACCGGGTCCAGGACTCGAACCACAGTCGACTATGTGGGAGTCCAGCGACATAGCCATTACGCTAACTGCTGGTCCTCAAGGGAGAATTTTTTTAAAAGGCACAAGTTACCAAAAAGCTCACTGAAGAAAAAATAGATAACCTAGTTAGCTCCTTATCTATTAAAGAAATGAAATTTGTAGTTAAAAACCTTTCCATAAAGAAAATTTAAGGACCATATGGCTTTATTGGAGAATTCAACCAAACATCTAAGATAGAAACAATAATAGTGGTACAAAATCTTTCAGAATTTTGGAGAATTGTAATAGTAGTTCTCTGTAACTTGTGGTTTGTTTCCAGCTTACTCTACTTTGTATTTAATATTAGACACTTCATCTTCTTCTGATGAATGCGTATCTTCTGTTTGTATCTATATTTCAAGTGGATTTTTTTTATTCTTTTTTTTTTTTTGAAAGGTTTTCACTATAGGGTGCATGCGCTCACCAGAAAGAGAGAGAGACAGAAAGTGAGAAATCACCCTCCAGGGGGGATGGCCACGCCACAATCCCTTCTCCATTCTCCTCTTGGGATCTTGGGCACGCACGCACACACGCCTGGCGTGAGTTTAACCCTCCGGTTCTGGTACTCGAAACGCAGTCGACTACATGGGAGTCCAGCAACATAGCCATTACGCCAAGTGCTGGTCCCTCAAGTGGATTTCTTACAGACATATAGTTGGGTCTCACCTTTTTATTCAGTTTGAATATCTCTGCCCTTTAGTTGGAATGTTTAGGCAACTTACCTTTAACACGATTTTTAGTGTGGTTGAGTTTTAAAATAACTTTCTTACTAATTGCTTTTTTGTCTCATCTGTTCTTTGTTCCCTTTTTTTTCCTGCTTTCTTTTAGAATAATTGGATGTTTATATTATTATTATTTTTTTAATTGTCAGAGGCCATGTGCGCTTACCAGAGAGAGACAGAGAAGGTGGGACAGAAAGCACTTTGCAGTTGGGTGAGGCCATGGCTCAATCCCTTCTTCGTTTTCACGTACTGTTGGGATTTGGGGTGCACATACACATGTACCCAGCACCTTTTCAAGACACAGGGTTGAGATTCTAATACAGTCAACCATGTCAGATACAGCTCCTTTTACCACTAGGCTACAGGGCTAACAAAGGGTGATTATGTTGTAACATCCTAGAAGCAATCTAGTTTGATCCTGAGAATGTAAACATGACTTAATATAATGAATATTTTAGTGTAACATCCATAAATAAGTCAGTAATTTGATATTGATATGATTGCAGATATAGAAAACTCATAAAAATATCTAAAATTAAAAAAAAATTAATATGACTTTAAAAAACCTAATGACATGGGCTGGCAGGTAGTATGGAGGTTAAGATATAGTTCCCACATGGCCAGCTGCACGGTTCTAGTCAAGGATCTAACAGTTTGAAAATCATACTAGGCACATGTGCGTGTGTGCCGAAAATCCTGAGAGGAGACTAGAGGAGAGGAGATGGTGGCATGACCATCCTCCTCGGGGGGGAGTGATTTCTTATTTTCCCTCTCTGTTTCTCTGGTTCTCTCAGGTGAAGTGTACATTGTATTCCCCACTCCCCCAAAATAAATGAAAACTAAAACAGAAAAATGTAATGATATAATTAAATATATGGAAATCAATAACTCTCTCTTTTTTTTTTTTTACTTTTTGCCAGAAGGTACTTGTACTCACCAGAGAGAAACAGACAGAGAGGCAAAGTAAGAAAGCACCCCCTTGGGCAGTGGTTTTGCTCAGTCCCTTCTATTGTTTTTCTATTCAGGCACATATGCACGTGTATCCAGCATGGTTCTCAAGCTGCAGAGTCCAGGACTCGGATCACGCAACAGTTCATGTGGGATTCAGCTGCCGTAACCACACATCACGAGCTGGCCCCAAATCAGTCACTAATTACAAAAAATAATTTTGTTTCCCCAAAACAGTACAAAATGAAAAGTTGGGAAGAATGCAAGCGTATTCCTAAGAAAAAAATGTAGAACCTATAAGGAGAAAACTAAAGATCTTCAATGATATTAAAAGATTTGAATGAAATGCCTGTTTCTGGATAAGCCATCTGAAAGTTGTAGAGAGATGAGTTCATCCTCAATTCATAGACTTAAAATAATACCCACCAGTTTGATTGATTTGGGGACTTTACTACCTGATCTAAAGTGTTACTTGCTGAGTGTACTAATTTTTACAATAAAAAGGAGCACGTGGTATTAGGCACTATTTTAGGTACCAAGGATACAGGAGTGGCTAAAACGAACAAAAATTCTTGCTCTCATAAAGCTGTCATCATGGTTGGGAGAGACAGATGATAAGAAGAGTGTTAAGGATCTCATTTCTCACTGTCACATATGGTTGGAATTTAGTGCCAGACCCTGTACTTGTGATAAACTAGCCAAGTTACCTTGTTTTTTTCCTTTCACATTTAAAGTGAGTAACTGGGTTACACTAATAGTATTCTACTCTGATGTTATATTTGCTGTACAAGCTTTTACGTAGTTTTAGTTTACCTGCCATTGGACATGTGAGAGAGAGAGAGAGAGACCAACAGTGGGCATAATGGCTATATTGCTGGACTCCCATGTAGTGGACCTCAGTTCGAGTCCGAGACCTGGTGGCTTAAACTCAAGCCGGACATGTGTGCGTGTGTGCCCAATATCCCGAGAGGAGAATGGAGAAGAAGGGATTTTGGCGAGACCATGCCTCCTGGGGGGTGATTTCTCATTTTCTGTTTCTTTCTTTCTGGTGAGCGCACGTGCCCTATAGCAAAAATATCTTCAAAAAAAAAAAAAAAATATGTGAGAGAGAAAACTGTGGAACTGTTGGTGCCAGTCCCTTAAAGGGATTCCTGGAACCCAGGCCTCTGCAGAGTGGAGTCCAGAACCAGTGCCCTAGATGAGCCCTGTGTAGGTCTGTGTTCTGCCATGAACCTTCCCTGAAGGATGTTGGAGTGTAGAAGTGACATGACCTACGTAGGGAGATAAGTAATGATGTGAGAATTGTTTTAAAGGATTTTGGAAAAAGTTTGAAAGCAGTGGTAATCAGAGACTGGTGTCACTTACGGATTCCTATCCCCTCAGATGTACTGAATCAGAACATGGTCTTAATACAGAAATTGGAAAATATAGAGAGTGATTTGAAACATGTCTCAGTTCAGAAAGAGGACAATTTAGAGCTTTCCCCCTGTAGTGATTGTGGGCTGCAGGTTGGCTGCGGCCGTGGGTCTCTCTTGTGCAGGATGGGCATTGTCAAGAATAAGGCCTACTTTAAGAGATACAAAGTGAAATGTAGAAGGCGATGGGAGGGTAAAACTGATTACTATGCTCAGAAACGTTTGGTGACCCAGGATAAAAATAAATACAACACGCCCAAATACAGGATGTCAGCTTGTGTAACGAACGGAGATATCATCAGATTGCTCATGCCCGTGTAGAAGGGGCTGTGATAGCCTGCACAGCTTATACACACCAACTACCAAAACACAGTGTGAAGGTTGGCCTGACAAATTAGGCTGCAGCCTTTTGTACTGGCCAGCCGCTGGCCCGCAGGTGGCTCAGTAGGTTTGGCGTGGAGCAGATCTATGAGGGTCGCCCGCAGGTGTCTCAGTAGGGTTGGCGTGGACAAGATCTATGAAGGTCAAGTGGAAGTGACTGGAGATGAATACCATGTAGAAAGCACTGATGATCAACCTGGTGCCTTCACCTGCTATTTGGATGCAGGCCTTGCCAGAACCACCACTGGCAAAGTGTATGGGGTCCTGAAGGAGGTGGTGGGTGGAGCCTTGTCTATCCCTCCCAGTACCAAACGATTCCCTGGTTATGATTCTGAAAGCAAGGAATGTAATGCAGAAGTCTCTAAGAGCACATCGTGGGCCAGAGTGTGGCAGACTACATGTGCTACCTAATGGAAGAAGATGAAGACACCTACAAGAAACAGTTCTCTCAGTACCTCAAGGACCGTTTAACTCCAGACATGGAGGAGATGTGTAAGAAAGCTCACTGCTATAGGAGTGAACCCGGTCTATGAAAAGAAGCCCAAGAAAGAAGTTAAAAAGAAGTGGAATCATCCCAAAATGTCCCTTGCCCAGAGGAAAGACCAGGTAGCCTAGAAGAAGGCAAGCTTCCTCAGAGCTCAGGAGCGGGCTGCTGAGAGCTAAACCAACTTTCTATGACTTTGTTCCAGATAAAGATAATAAACTTAAGAACGGAGAAGGTAAAAAAAAAGAAAGAAAAGAAATAGGACCATTTGGAGTTAGTGATTTTTGCCAGTGAGCTGGAGTAGAAGCAGGGATGAGAAAATACAGGTAATTTTACTCCATTTTCACTTTGGGTCTTGTATTGAGATGACCACTTGATATCCAAGTGGATATCTCTGCTAGACAAGTGAAAATGAGAAAGGCATACTGGAGTTAGTGATGACAGTGATAGTTGAAGTAGTGGGAATAGTCTGAGAGACCGAGCAGAAAGTCAGTCACTTGCTTTTAGGCCCTGGACCGTGGAGGTCAGACGAGACAGACGGAGCAATCAGTGAGGCAAGCGGAAGAGCAGGACAGTGGGTAATTTCGTTGAAGCCTTGAAGGGTATATATTCTCTTGTACTATGAATATTGTCAGGAAAATGTGGTGCGAATCTGTCAGGAAAATGGGAGCCAAAAAGAAGATATTAATAACCCTTGAGAATGCAGAAGTAACCCCTGAGAATGCCATAAATGAAGGGTGATATTTATAAATGCCAAGTGAATGGGGCCAGCAGGCGGAGTAGTGGCTAAGATGCTGGACTCCCACATGGTGGACTGCGATTTGAGTCCCAGACCCGGCAGCTGGAACCTCACTGAGCGCGTGTGTCCAGCATCCCAGGAGGACAGTAGAGAACGGATTGTGTCGTGACTGTTCCCTGCTGGGGATGGGAGATGGGGGGATTTTTTGTTTCTGCCTTTCTCTTTCCAGTGAACATGTACGCCATGAAGCAAAATTCTCTCTCAAGTTAAAAAAAAAGAAATACCAAGTGGGTTAATGAACAGCGAGTGAGTGACTCAACATGAATACTCACTCCTTATAATTTCAGTCTCTTAGAACTTATGACTAGAGGATCTTAAGCAAGATCAAAATTGGCAAACCTTTTCTCTTTTTTTGGAGAGGTTTTTGCTATAGAGTTTGTGCACTTGCCAGTGAGAAATCACCCCCCAGGGGGGATGGCCGCGCCACAATCCCCTCTCCTCCATTCTCCTCTCGGGATCTTGGGCACACACGCACACGCGCCTGGCATGAGTTTAAGCCACCGGGTCCGGGACTCAAGCCACAGTCCACTACGTGGGAGTCCAGCATCATAGCCATTATGCTAACTGCTGGTCCCAAACCTTTTCTTTATGGGGCCAGAGAGTAAATACTTTTGACTTTGCAGGCCATAATGGTTTCTGTTGTACCTATAAACTCCCTTAGCAGAAAAGTAGCTTCAGACACTATGTAAACAAATGGGTGTATCTGTGTTGCAATTGAACTTTGTATCCAGCCGAGCCAAACGTGGCAGTGGCAGTGGTTGTGGCAGTGGCAATGCATGCTGCTAGACCAGAGGCTGAGACTACAGGGGAGGCTCAGTTTTGATTCCAGCCCACCCTGAAAGCTGGGGTGAACCTGTAGTTCCACCCGTTTGGTAGACTGAGACAGGAGACTCGTGATATAGTGAGCCTCTTTTCTAAAGAAACAACACAACTAAAACCTTCACTTTCAGAAACAACTGATGGGGAACCAGCAGTTAGCATAATGGCTATGTCGCTGGACTCCCACATAGTCGACTGCGGTTCACGTCCCGGACCCGGTGGCTTAAAACTCAAGCCGGGTGCGTGTGCGTGTGTGCCCAAGATCCTGAGAGGAGAATGGAGGAGAAGGGATTGTGGTGTGACCATCCCCCCTGGGGGGTGATTTCTCGCTTTCTATCTCTATGTCTCTGTCTGGCTGGCAAGCGCACACGCCCTGTAGTGAAAATCTCTCCGGAAAAAAAACTGATGGACTTTAGCAAATGAGGAGTTTCTAACTTTCTGCTTTTCTCTCTGTATTTTCTTGTTTTGTGACATTTAAGATGTAAATTAATATTGGCTAGCTTCTTTCTGATATAAAATTATTAAAGCTATATATCAATGTTAAAGCTTAAAATACCTAGCAAGAATGACTCTTGTGTTGATCACATGCCATTTTATGAACTTCCCCAAGTCCCCCCTGCTCCGTGCTGTGAAACATGAGATGGACTGAAATAGGTGTACTTGTTCCCCTTCCCTCCCAAATATGATGACTACTTCAGTGTGGTTTAACCTTTTATTGTTTCCCCTATTTTCATAACAATTTGCTTTTGCTTTTTCAGACTCGGAGAAATCTGTGTGAAGAGGCTTTGTTAAAAATTAAAGGTGTTATTAGCTTTACTTTCCAAATGGCTGTTCAGAGATGTGTGGTGCGAATCCGTTCAGATTTGAAAGCAGAGGTTAGTACTTTAAATGACAGAATGTCGTGAGGTTACAGGTAAACAAATCGGTGTTCTAAATCGTTCTTTTTATCCCGTCTTAGGCTTTGGCATCAGCAATAGCATCAACCAAGGTTATGAAAGCTCAGCAAGTTGTAAAAAGTGAAAGTGGAGAAGAGGTAACAGTTTCATTTAGTTTTCTTTCTACCTAAGACTCAGATATCTTAATGGAGGTAGCTTGCTGATTTTATATGGAAAAAAAGATACATCGTCTTCTTGCATTGACTTTTAAATACGTCATAACATTGATGAGCCTTGCTAATCTGAAAGTGCAAGAATTGGGCTACAAGCAAGGTAAAAATCCTCAATTTTTGCCATTGGGCTTGTGCACTTGCCAGAGATGGAAAAAGACACAGGAAGTGAGAAATCATCCCCCTGGGGGAGGTGGCCACACTGCAGTCCCTCTCCTCTGTTCTCCTCAGTATTTTGGGGACACACACACACACACACACACACACACACACAGCGTGAATTTCAAGTTACCAGGTCCAGATATCGACCCATGGTGGGCTGTGTGGAAGTTCAGCACCCCAGCTCCACGCCATCTACTGGCCCCTATTGCTCTTCTTTCTGCTAGTTTTGTGAGAGGAAATGAGTCTATATGCCTTGAGCCCATCTGGGCCTTGAACCCATCACTGTCTTCCTCCATAGAGCGGGTGTTCTGTGGCTAGGGCCTTACCGGCCAGGTGTTTGGTTTAGTCTTTAGACAGAGATAGCTCATTTACTTCCAGAACCTCAGCAAATCCACATCTGAGTCCTCAATGCAGTTCCTTCTATGCTTCCATAGTGTTCTATAATTGGGCCCACTGTCATGTGAGAAGAAAATTTTGGAAGGATTAGAGCTCTGGGGAGTAAATTATATCATTAGACGAGTAAAATGAACCTTCAACTTGAATACAAATAGGCATATCTCACTAAGTTGATTTTGTAATGACTTTTAACCTGTCCTCTGTGTCAGATGCTGGTCCCATTCCAAGATACTCCTGTGGAAGTAGAACAGAACACAGAGCTGCCTGACTACCTGCCTGAGGATGAGAGTCCTACAAAGGAGCAGGACAAAGCGGTGTCCAGGGTCGGCTCACACCCAGAGGGTGGAGCTAGCTGGCTGAGTACAGCTGCAAACTTTTTATCCAGATCTTTTTACTGGTGACTTCAATTTGAGGCTGAAGGACTGTGTGAGCCAACAAAGGGCCAGTTTTCCATTGTCGTGGTGAACTGTCAAGTGCAATTTGCAATAAGTTATCATGAAGAGTTTTTAGATCACATTATTGCGTATGCTGCATTTTACATTTTATTGGACATTTTACCCAAGTGTCTGGTACAAAGGACAGAGGCTACTGGTGGAGTCGTTTTGTTTATGAAGGTATTTTGGTTTTGTTTTCCTTTGTTTTAATTGCCTCCCTTTTTTAGAAACATGGGTCCATTGTTAAAACCAAACATGTATGTGCAGCTTTACATTTTATTTTACATGAAGCATGTGATTAGGAAGCCTGTTTTCTCCTCAAGCCTCAGGACCTATCTGAAGAGAAGTTTTTTGGTAGCTCGAGTTGTGCATGAATTACTGAGCATTTTCCTCTGCTTTCCTTCATGAAAGTTACATGCTTTGGTACTCTTCACTGAAAGTTGCAAACATTCGTTACCCTCCTTTTGTGCCTTTTTTATTTTGCCAACCATGTTTATAGAAAGAACATTACAAATGATATTTTGCAAACTAAAACATATTCATTTGAACATAGTCCCCTAAAAATTCAATTTAATGGAAACTTTGCAGTCTTATTTGTTACCGTGGTAATAAGATTAGCACAAAATCAGCCTAGAAGAAGGGAACATGTATATAAGCAAAGTGCTTTTGGAGACTATTTGAATGTGACCAAATGTGGTTCTGGTTGACGACTGTTCACTTTGGTTTATATCAGCTCTTGAGAGTTCAGTCCACCGTGATATTTCGAGCAATTGTAAGTGGTCTTTAGCCCTTAACTTGGTGATTACACACTATCTACTCCTTTCTTAGAAAAACATAGTGGTAGGAAAGAACTGACAAACTTGAAAAAAGGAAATAAAAATTGAATGCCTATAATGCCATAGTGCCACTTTGGTGGAGTCTAACTTTAAAACACGAATTGCTTGGCAGACACCTATTCAGTAGGTGTTTTTTTTTGCATTGCCTTTTATGAATTTATTACGAAAATGCTGCAGTTGTATTGAATGAAAAACAAATCCAAATTATTGCTTATCAAGAATTAAAGCCAGCATTGGTCGCCTACTCTTGTTTCTCATGTCCAGCCAGAAAAAAAAAGAACTTCAGTGAAGGTAAGATAAATAAATATGTATACATATATATATATATATAAATATATATGTTTTTGGTAGATAGAGCTAATTATGTGTATGTAATACTTTATTTATGAAATATTTGGCAACTAAAATTTTCTTTATAGAAATCCAACTAAATTTGAATACATTTAATGTAAAATGGTTAAAAACGAAGGAAGAAAGAGAAAATTTTTTTCATCAGCATGTAGAGCTGCTGTTTTACTACTTAGAGAATGTGAAGAGAAAATTGGAGCCTGGAGAGTCTCCTTGCATTTTCATCACTTCTCTTTTAGAGAATATTGAAAGCATCCAGTGTTACTGGAGAAAAATAATTGTAAAATACCATAACCAATGAATCTTGAGTTCACTAACATGTGACCTTCTGGAGGAAGTTATTGAGGGTATGGAGAATGATATTTTTTTTCATGTATCTGGTCTCTGGTTCAAGTGATACGCACAAACTGAAAATACAAGCTTTCAGGGCACATATTGCTTTAAATATATAATAGAACTGACTGCCAGAACCAGATGTGTTGCTAAAAGAAAACAAAACCACCTCCTTTCTATAGCCATTAAAGCAAAGTTTACTGTTCCGTTTTAACAAGTTTATATTTAATTTTGCATTGCCACACATCTGCTTATTTAAACAACGACATCCTTCTGGTAGTAATGGTTCATTACAAGTAGGTATTACAGTTTGATGTTTGTGTGTTCTAATTCTAAGTGTTCTTTTATTCCAGGTCTTATAGAGCAGTTAAGGCAACTGTAATGGCATTTTTTGGAAATATATTGTAAAATAATAAAAGGTAACATAATTAAAATGGAATTGGATATTGCATTCTTGTTGTATAAGCGTTATTGATTACTCTTAAGCCTGTTTGTTCACACACTGCCTGGCAAACTCTCCCATATTCCTGCATTAATGTTACCTGACTAATTCTTGTGCATCTTCCACTTATCTCCTTCCTGTCACCACACCTGCCTCTCCTAGGACTGGATCAGCAGCTCCTATACATATACCCATTGTATGTTTAACATATTATAGACAAACTGCATATTTTCCAGTGTCCTCTCCCCTACTAAGCCCTTTGAGAACAGTGAGATTCCTGTTCATATTAAGATTGTAACTGTACCTGGCTAGTAATAAATCCTCAAAATTTTTTTGGAGAACCAATAAGGAATTTTTTAAAAACAAGTTAAAATATATGAATTGTACTTATTAACTTCTTGGGCAAAAGGAAGCATGTCAGGTTATATATATTGTATATTGTTTTTTATCTGGGCATCCTCATTTCTTTTTTTTTGGAGAGGTTTTCACTATGGGGCGTGTGCGCTCACCAGAAAGACAGAGAGAGACAGAGAGATAGAAAGCGAGAAATCACCCCCCAGAGGGGATGGCCACGCCGCAATCCCTTCTCCATTCTCCTCTTGGGATCTTGGACATGCATGCACATGCACCTGGCATGAGTTTAAGAGGCTGGGTCCAGGACATGAACCGTGGTCGACTACGTGGGAGTCCAGCGACATAGCCATTACACTAACTGCTGGTCCCGTGGGCATCCTCATTTCTGATTTAGTGGTTACTATTGACCAGATTCCTTCATCTAATTTGTCATTTAGTTTTTGTTTGAAAAAAAATTGAACAAGAAGCATGACAGCTCTCTTTTCCTTCTCATTACTGTTTGAACAAAGTTAGGATTAATTTATCCTGATTCTTATAGAATTATGAGAAAATATTATATATATTATATAATAGTGGTTTTGATTTTATTATGTTTTTTAACATATTTTTCATGGACATAAAATTTATGTAAGATTAAACGCACCATTGGGAACCAGCAGTTAGCGTAATGGCTATGTCGCCGGACTCCCACGTAGTCGACCGCGGTTTGCGTCCCAGACTCAGTGGCTTAAAACTCACGCCGGGCGCATGTGCATGTGTGCCCAAGATCCCGAGAGGAGAATGGAGGAGAAGGGATTGCAGCGTGACCATCCCCTCTGGGGGGTGATTTCTCGCTTTCTGTCTCTATGTCTCTCTCTGTCTGTCTGGCGAGCGCACGCGCCCTATAGCAAAACCTCTCCAAAAAAAAAAAAAAAAAAGATTAAACGCACCGTTTAACCATTTTGAACGTAAATGGTTTTTCATGTATTCAGAATGTTATAAAACCATCGCTTCTATGTAGTCCCAGGAGATTTTCATTATCCCCAACAGAAATGCTATAATCCAAGAACGCTCATCCATCTCCTGTCTTTGCCAGGCTTCCCAGCCTGTGGTAAGCACTGTCTGCTCTCCCCTTCCTGAGGTCAGTTGTTTCAGCATCCACATATAAGAGAGAGCATAAAGTATTTCTCTTACTATGCTTGGTTTATTTCACTTAACTTAATGTCCTCCATTGATTTTCTGTTTTTTTTTTTTTTTGGAGAGATTTTCACTGTAGGGCGCGTGCGCTCGCCAGACAGACAGAGAGAGACATAGAGACAGAAAGCGAGAAATCACCCCCCAGGGGGGATGGTCACGCCGCAATCCCCTCTCTTCCATTCTCCTCTCGGGATCTTGGGCACGCACGCACACGCGCCCGGCGTGAATTTTAAGCCACCGGGTCCGGGACGTGAACCACGGTCGACTACGTGGGAGTCCAGCGACATAGCCATTACGCTAACTGCTGGTTCCCTTGATTTTCTGTTTTATAAATGACTAGCTATGTGATCCTAGACAGTAATTTAATCTCTGCACTTTTATTCCATTAGAAAAACAAAGCTCTTTACTTCTTAGAATCCAGTGAGAACATGAATGCATTGCAAACCACAAGTTTACTAGTATATGATACAGTTACCCTTAATAGAAGTTGGACTTGAATTTCTTCCTCATTTAGATTCACGAGTGTTCCAGTGTACTTTTCTAATCATATTTTATCTGATTCTTCCTCAATTATTACATCCAATCAGAAGGATTTCTTGAGGCTTAGGGTTAGTCTTTTCTTTGTTGTTTTGTTTTCACATTTTCTCTTTTCAAGACTGTTGTCAGGATTTTGGTTCCCTTTGTGTAGATCACTCCGGAATCTCCATTGTATAGTCACCTTTGGCAGTTCTCTTTTCTTTCTCAATACCCATCAAATGTGACGTCTCGGGTTTTTATTTCTCTTAGAGCCAAGCTTATGACACACAATAAATTTAAATTCTGCACTGTACTTCACAGATATTTTTCTCATTTAACTTTTAACGACTTATGAGATAGGTGCATATTTTCACAACATTTTCCACTCTCACAAGGCAGCCTGCTTCAGATCTTCCCTGCTCTGCCTTTCCAGTTCCAGTGGTCCCCAACCTGTTAGGCACTGGGGACTGGTTTCCTGGAAGACAGTTTTTCCACAGATGATGGGGCTAAGGGGGATGGTTTATGAGAGCACACAACCTGAATCCCTTGAATGCACAGTTCTCAGTAGGGCTCGCACTCCTATGTCTGGCAGAAGGTGGAACTCACATGATGCGTGCAATGGGGAGCAGCAGTAAATACAGATGGAGCTTTGCTCGCTCATTTCCTGCTTTGAAGCCCTATTCCTGTAGGGGACCCATGACCTACACTTTTGTTTTTTATCCTCTTGCTGGCATTGTGTCAAATGACTTAACTCAGCTACTAGCCATGAAACTTACTGCTAGAGACCAGAAAAGTTAAATGTATGAACGAGGGACCAGCAGATGGTGTAATGGTTGTATTACTGGACTCCCAGGCAGTCACCACAATTGGAGTCCCAGACCCAGAGGCTTAAAACTCATGCCAGGCACGTGCGTATGCGTGCCCAAAATCTTGAGAGGAGAATGGAGGAGAAGGTATTGTGGTGTGGCCTTCCCCTCTGAGGGGTGATTTCTCGCTTTCTGTCTCTGGCAAGTGCATATGCCCTATAGCAAAAATCACCTCTCACTAAAAACAAAAAATGTACATATATATATATATACACACACACACACACACATTTATGTATATGTATAATGAAAGGAAGAAACCTGATCAGGCAACAGCATAACATACATAGAAAGCCCCCTGTCCGTGTAAAGGAAACCACATTTTCCTCATGCAGAGCTGGGCTTTGTGGCTCTTCCAGACCCATAAAACACTGCCTGAGCCACATAAACCATGTCTGTTGGCCAGAAATTGGCTACTTGAGATTAGCCTCATTCTAATCTATCAAATTAATTTTAGTAGCATTCTTATTTTCTGTTCTAATGTTAACAGAGGCCTACAGATTGGAGTTTACATTGCCTTGTTTAGCTTCAGAAGTGTCCTGACAGTTAAACCCCCAGCCAAGTCTTTCACACATTCTGCAAATGTTGGTATAGATTTTGTATATAAGGCACAATTGTATATCCTTTTTTATCTTTAATTTTTTAAAAATTATTATTTTAATATGTTATAGGACACATGCATTCACTGGAGAGAGAAAGAGAGAGAGCACGAGAAGAAAAGTAAATCATTCCCCAGAGGGGATGGCCATTCCACAATCCCGTCTCCATTGTCTCAGGATTTGGGGCACATATGCACACATACCCAGTATGTTTTACAAACTGTTGATTCCAGGACTTGAACCACATAGTGAGCCAGGTGGGATCCAGCTGCCCTCACCACCGCATCACCAACTGGCCCTGTATCTGTTTTTGTTAAGAAAAATGTTCTTGCTTTATTTAGAATTGTCTATTACAGCCTGGATACTGTTTTCATCTTGCCCTTTAGGCTTTCACTCATGTACTTTCTGGAATTTGGGATTTCCTTCTTTACACGCTCTCCTCCCTTTTAAAATATTTTATTGTGTAAACAAGCTCAGTAGATTACAGAAATACATGAAGAAAGCACAGCCACCCATCCTTCCACAACACCGGCAATAAAGGAAACAGTGTTTGTTTCATTTTATTCTTTTTTGTTTGTTTGTTTTGATTTATTTGTGTTGATAAGTATAGACTTAAATTTTTTAACAAGTTCAA